GGGACACTCTTGTAGGACACTCTTGTGGGACACTCTTGTAGGACACTCTTGTGAGACACTCTTGTAGGACACTCTTGTGGGACACTCTTGTGAGACACTCTTGTGGGACACTCTTGTGGGACACTCTTTTATAGGACACTCTTGTAGGAAACTCTTGTGGGACACTCTCGTAGGACACTCTTGTAGGAAACTCTTGTGGGACACTCTTGTAGGACACTCTTGTGGGACACTCTTCTGGGACACTCTTGTAGGACACTCTTGTAGGACACTCTTGTGGGACACTCTTATAGGACACTCTTGTGAGACACTCTTGGGGGACACTCTTGTAGGACACTCTTGTGGGACACTCTCGTAGGACACTCTTGTGAGACACTCTTGTAGGACACTCTTGTGGGACACTCTTGTGAGACACTCTTGTGGGACACTCTTGTGGGACACTGTTATAGGACACTCTTGTGGAACACTCTTGTGGGACACTCTTGTAGGACACTCTTGTGGGACACTCTCGTAGGACACTCTTGTGAGACACTCTTGTAGGAAACTCTTGTGGGACACTCTTGTAAGACACTCTTTGTGGGGCACTCTTATAGGACACTCTTGTGGGTCAATCTTGTAGGAAACTCTTGTGGGACACTCTTGTAGGACACTCTTGTGGGACACTCATATAGGCCACTGTTGTGGAAAACTCTTGTGGGACAATCTTGTAGGACACTCTTGTGGGTCACTCTTGCAGGAAACTCTTGCGGGGCACTGTTTCGGGACACTCTTGTAGGACACTCTTGCGGGACACTCTTCTGGGACACTCTTGTGGGACACTCTTGTAGGACACTCTTGTAGGAAACTCTTGGGGGGGGACTGTTTTGGGACACTCTTGTAGGACACTCTTGCGGGACACTCTTGTAGGACACTCTTGTGGGACACTCTTGTAGGACACTCTTGCGGGCCACTCTTACGGGGCACTCTTGTGGGACACTCTTGTGGGGCACTCGACTCTCTTGTGGGGCACTCTTGTGGGTCACTCTTGCGCGACACTCTTGTAGGACACTCTTTGTGGGACACTCTCAAAAGCACTCTTGTGGGTCACTCTTACGGGACACTCTTGTCGGACATTCTTGTGGGACAGTCTTGTGACACACTCTTGTAGGACACTCTTGTGGGTCACTCTTACAGGACACTCTTGTGGGACACTCTTGTAGGACACTCTTGTAGGACACTCTTGTGGGACACTCTTGTGGGACACTCTTGTGTGACACTCTTGTAGGAAACTCTTGTGGGACACTCTTGTAGGACACTCTTGTGGGGCACTCTTATAGGACACTCTTGTGGGACACTCTTAAGGGACACTCTTGTGAGACACTCTTGTGGGACACGGTTGCGGGACACTCTTGTGGAACACTCTTGTGGGACACTCTTGTGGGACACTCGTGTCGCGACACGGTCTGCACACTAGAAGCAGTCACGCGAGCGTTTCGTACGAGACTTCCTCCAAAAGTCACGCTTCGAGGCTGCAAGACGAGCGTTTCGTACGAGACTTCCTCCTAAAGTCACGCGTCAAGTCTCCAAAACGGAGCGTTTCGTACGAGACTTCCTCCAAAAGTCACACGTCAAGTCTCCAAAACGAGCGTTTCGTACGAGACTTCCTCCAAAAGTCACGTGTCAACTCTCCAAAACGAGCGTTTCGTACGAGACTTCCTCAAATACTCACGTGTCAAAGTCTCCAAAACGAGCGTTTCGTACGAGACTTCCTCCAAAAGTCAAGCGGAAACACCCATCGGAGCACACACATCACGCAGCCCTGCCAAGCAGTTTCGCGATTCCAGCCCCTCCAAACAACACCCGCTCACACGCCAATCCCAATGAGACAACGACAGTCACCTCTACCACAACTCACAACCTCACGATTCCCTGCGCCTGCCACGCATCTTTCCGCGTCCACACGTCTAACGCGCGCAAAGTACTGCGCCTGCCACGCAATGTCACCTCCGTCACACCTCGCAACCTCACGATTCCCTGCGCCTGCCACGAAAATCACACTACCATGCCTCAAAACCCGCACAAAGTACTGCGCCTGCCGCGAAAAGTGACAATATCATCTCATGTGAGCTTCAACAAAATTTGCACCACACCACACGTTTGGAATGATTTCGATCCGTTCTGAGCACACTCCCATCCACCAAAATCGCCACTTCAGCTGAGACTTGTCACGAAAACAGAGCTTCGATGCCACACCCTGAAACGCAAATCCCAATGGCACGGCCACATCCAACACCCCAAAAACACGACTCTCCAAATGCTAATCCCAATGGAACTGCGTAGCAAACTGAGGATCTCACAAAACGCTGCGCCTGTGCAGCGAAATGCATCACGCTTCTTGCGCGACATGTCATTTTCATGCAAATCACAGTGGAATAGCGTCGCAAACTGACACGTGACACATCCATGAAAAGTCACTTGCAAAAGCTTCCCCCAATGGCAGCGCCTTAGCGCTCTACTGCGAACGGTTGCGAACGGTTGCGAACGGTTGCGGACGGTTGCCAACGGTTGCGAACATAGAAGCAACGGGTCGCGAACAAAGCTCTACCCCCAGACCCCCAAGAGTTAAACGAGAACCCTTCGCTACGCATTCGGGAAAAATTGGAAGCCCAGGACCCAGGTCATGTCAAGTCAAGGAATCATACAAGACCTCCAACCCCAAGCATCCTTGAGCCCAGAATAAAGCATCACACGTTGGCCATCCCCGGTCCTTTCTTCAAGGCAAGAAGCCCTCCAAATCCTCCATCAGCCCCACACGGCATCCATCGCGAAGCTTCAACATAAAGGGCGCATCCTGCAACCCATCCGAGGCTCACGCGCGGACGGTCAAAACCAGTTCCTAACCTACCAACAGGTTGAGGAACCCAAAATCGATAAGGTAACTTATAATATATCTATATCCTCTCTTGGTCCTGGTATGTTTCAGCGCTTTGCTTCTCAAAAATCACCACCACCACCACCACTACTACTACTACTACCACCACCACTACCACCACCACTACTACTACTGCTACTGAGTGCAGATCTTAATCCTCCAAACTTATAGACTGGAACCCGCTGCAGGTTCGTTCCAACTGTTCAACTGAACTGCACAGGTTCCTTCTGACTCACATCAAACAGGCCAATCAGATATGCCTGCTCCACGGAGTTCAGGCGGTTATTTGGAGGGAAAAACCCTGCATTCTCAGGGGTGTCTCAAATCCATCCGAACTCGCATGTGGCTTTGGGGGAAGGGTTCCCCATCCCATGCGGGATTCGTGCGGCAAAAGAACAGCCAGCCAAGCAGGGCGCCCAGAGGGCACTGCGAAACGTCCGAACGGCTGCGCCATTTGGACCCCCGAGGCCGTTTCCTATCCCAGACACCCCATGGGACTGGTATATTTACATACGTTGACCCCTGTTCAACCACCCCAACTGATCAGTCAATACGCCAGTCCCATTAGTCGTGTCTGGGAAAGGTGAATCAACTGGACTGTCCACATATTGTGTTGCTCAGTTAGGGAGCCTCCAACTCTCAAAAAGTTTGAAGGTTCCCCCTGAATGGGTAGGAAATCTTCGAGTCCTTTCTCCACTGCCAGCCAAAGAGTTCGGAACAAACCTACCAATGCGCTGCACCCAGCCAAATAACTGCTCAAATGTGGCACGCGACGAACTACAGGCTGCTATCCTCACCTAAATGGGCATCATCTCCAGCAAAACCCAGACTTGTCAAACTGGTCAGAAAGCCCGGAAGTGTGCAACCAGTGGGGGCAAAGGCTCCACTTCCAATCTGAGGTACAGAATCAGGAATTGTCAAACGGGTCAAAGAACTGCAGTCACCGAAGGCCTGGTCCCCAATCTCAGTTACGGAGTCCGGAATGGTCAAGCTGGTCAAAGAGCTGCAGCCACAGAAAGCCATGTCTCCAATCCAAGTCAAAGAATCTGGAATTGTCAAACACGTCAGCGAGCTACAGTCACGAAAGGCTCCATGTCCAATCTGAGTTACAGAGTCCGGGATGGTCAAACTGGTCACAGAGCTACAGCCACGAAAGGTTCCATGCCCAATCTGAGTTACAGAGTCCGGGATTTTCAAACTGGTCACGGAGCTGCAGCCACGAAAGGCTCCATGTCCAATCTGAATTACAGAGTCCGGGATTGTCAAACTGGTCAAAGAGCTGCAGCCAAGAAAGGCTCCATGTCCAATCTGGGTTACAGAGTCCGGGATTGTCAACCTGGTCAAAGAGCTGCAGCCACAGAAAGCCATGTCTCCAATCCAAGTCAAAGAATCTGGAATTGTCAAACACGTCAGCGAGCTACAGTCACGAAAGGCTCCATGTCCAATCTGAGATACAGAGTCCGGGATGGTCAAACTGGTCACAGAGCTACAGCCACGAAAGGTTCCATGCCCAATCTGAGTTACAGAGTCCGGGATTTTCAAACTGGTCACGGAGCTGCAGCCACGAAAGGCTCCATGTCCAATCTGAATTACAGAGTCCGGGATTGTCAAACTGGTCAAAGAGCTGCAGCCAAGAAAGGCTCCATGTCCAATCTGGGTTACAGAGTCCGGGATTGTCAACCTGGTCAAAGAGCTGCAGCCACAAAAGGCTCCATGCCCAATCCGTGTTACAGAGTTCGGAATTGTCAACCTGGTCAAAGAACTGCAGCTATAGAAGGCCTGGTCCCCAATTTTTGTTATAGAGTCCTGAATGGTCAAGCTGGTCAAAGAACTGCAGCCACGAAAGGCTCCATGTCCAAGATTTGTTACGGAGCTTGGAATTGCCAGATGTGTCAAAGAACGACAAGAATAAAATGCCCTGTCCTCAATCTCAGTCACAGAGTCTGGAATTGTAAAGCTGGTCAAAGACCTGCACGCACAAATGACCCGGTGCCCAATTTGAGTCACAGAGTTCGGAATTGTCAAACTGGTCAAAGAGCTGCAGTAGGAAAAGGAATCATCTCCGATCGTTGTCACAGAGTCTGGAATTGTCAAACTGGCCAAAGAACTGCAGTAAGAAAAGGCCGCCTCCCCGATCTTGGTCACAGAGTCAGGAATTGTCAATCTGGTCAAAGAACTGCAGCCATAGATGGCTTGGACTCCAATCTCAGTCACAGAGTTCGGAATTGTCAAGCTGGTCAAAGAGCTGCAGCCATAGAATGCCGCGCGTCCAATCTTGCTAACAGAATCTGGAATTGTCAAGCTGGTCAAAGAACTGCAGCCAGCAAA